ATAGAAAACAGCGCAGTTATTGACCCTCCTGAACGGATAAAGGATATCGTCTCAAAATATGTCAACTTCGAAAGCTTATTTCAAAATCGTGGCACTGGATTGGTGCATGACTTTAACTTTTCTATAAACTACTAACATTAGTCAACACAAATCGTCAATAATATCTTTCTGATCTACCATTTGACACAAAAGACAAGCGCGCAAACTTTGTAAAATTTGAAAATGTGTCAAAATCGAGCATACTTTATCGGTAAACATAATTCTTGATATTAACAAATAAAACCACCTTACACTACACTGAATGAAGCTTGATTATGTAAATATATGTCTTTCATCATTATTCTTTGGTTTTGTACTCGAATGAAATTGTTAGACTGTACAGTTTGGCTTCAAGGATAGTCATTCAATGCCAGTGTGTCCAGTGTGTTCGAATTCTGCGCGCCTCAATGCCACGAGTCCTGATTGTGACATACGAACTTCGCTCTGTTCGCTTTGTTTAGAAATTAGAAAATTCGGAATTAGTCATACTACAGACATAATTTTCATTGGTTTGTTTACCTTAAACTGTTATATAAAGTTTCGTTTTATAGAATGTACGAATTAATATCGGGGAAAACTCCTAACCGAAAGAAATGTACTCGCTGAGCGTAAACATGTCAATCAAATGACGATGAAATGTTTCGTTGCTCTCTGATTTCCCTTTCTTTGTATTGAATTAAATAGTAGTCTTAGACAGTATTGCACGAGGTTTTTGTGTTTACAATAATGGTGTTCTACTTCTACTTCTACTACAGCCGCAATTTGTGATCACGCAACGTTAGGTAAACCTAAACGATTTCGACAGACAGTAGATTTTATGTTGACAGATGAGAAAGACGATAAGCAATAATGTAGAAATGTTCCTTTTCTACTTCTGAGTGTGGAAAATTCCGAGACACAGTAGACTGTTCTTCGAAGTTGCTGGCGTGTAAGAATGACATTAGTTATCACTTGCAAATTTGTCACCCTTTAAAGCTTGTCGGAAAGAAGAATATAAATTAATTCTAATTTTCAGAACCTTTCTAATTGTTACTGAAAAAGGGAATAACATTGATTAAATAACTGAGACGTTCAAATCGGTTACAGCTGTTTGCGCTGAATTGTTTTGTATTATATTAAAATATTCGCATATTTTTATACAATAAGAAATAATATAAATTCTTGAAGCATAGCCTTGAGCAATGTGACCCAGGGTCGGCCTGAAAAAGTTGATTTTTTATACAGAACCGTGACTTACTTGAATTCTAGTTTCATTGATAATTGTTTCTAAACCTAAAGACAATTCAGTTTGCTAGAAAACTATACTGAGCGAAACTAACGAAATATTGACATTTGACATCACAGCGAGTATACATTTCTGATTTCTTTCCGCCAGAGCCCGGGGTTTTCCCCGAGATTTAATTCGTACATTCTATTAACGAAACTTTTATAAAACAGTTTAAAACCGATGAAAATTCTGTCTTTAGTATTACTAATTCTGAGTTTTCCAATTTCATTGAACATTGTTATTTGTTAAACAGGTAAAGGTATTTGTTAAAGAGGTAAACAAAGCGAACAGAGCGAAGATTGTATAGTATGTCACAATCAGGACTCGTGGCATTGAGGCGCGCAGAAGACACTGGAAACACTGGCATTGAATGACTCTATCCGTGAAGCCAAACTCTACTCAAACAATTTGATTCAAGCGCCAAACCAAAGAATAATGATGAAAGACATATATTTACATAATCAAGCTTCATTCAATTTAGTCCAGGTGATCTCGTGTTCGTATTTTAGCCAATCAGTGCTCAGAAAGGGTTGTCCGAATAGAAATCCATTTTGATGTATTCAGTCAATTATATCTTTCGTTATTCTTTATGAAACTAGTTGAAATTTTGTAATTATGTTTGGTTATGAGAACTCTAGCTCTGACAAAAATATGGAATCGAAATGAAGTATATTACAGGAGATATTCAGTTGTTGTATTTGACAACTAGTGCCAGTACTTTCCGCGTATCAAGATCATCTGGGTGTAAGGTGATTTTATCTGTTAATATCAATAATTATGTTTACCGATAAAGTATGCTCGATTTCGACACATTTTCAAATTTTACAAAGTTTGCGCGCTTGTCATTTTTGTCAAATGGTAGATCAGAAAGATATTATTGCCGATTTGTGTTGACTAATGTTAGTAGTTTATAGAAAAGTTAAAGTCATGTGCCAATCAAGTGCCACGATTTTGAAATAAGCTTTCGAAGTTGACATATTTTGAGACGGTATCCTTTATCCGTTCAGGAGGGTCAATAACTGCGCTGTTTTCTATTTTATACCAATGAATAATGATCTAAGTCATATCACCTGCAAAAATAGAAGGATAAGTCTATATTTCTGAGCAACAATTTTGAAATTTAGGTACGAATTTGATTTAAAAAATAGCGCTGAAAATATGTCGATATTTGGCCTTCATTCGGAGTTCAAGTTGGTTACCAGTCGATCGAACATCAATCGCCCCCAAAAATAATTTAAAGGAAATTTGAGAAAAAGACATCGATTTTAGTTGTTCCCAAGGATAGATCTTCAAAATACTAGAGTATGAGAGAAATCTATTTTTGAGCTCCATATTGACCTGGAGGTTTTTACGGAGACAGCCTCTTAAGATTGATCCTGTCGTAAGTGTTCTACCAGCAACCAATCGACAATATTTCATTTTAGCGTTGTCTTTGCCGTTACGTTGGCTTCGCGTTACTTTTGCCTTAAATACCTTGATCGCGTTAAAAGAGTTATTTTTCAGGCCAGTGACTTAGCCGAAAGACTTGGCATTAATGTCTTTTTGATTTTATAGAGATATCTCTAGAACTGAGGATTTTAGTAAGCACTATCTGTACTCTCTCAAAGTTGTAGACAAGATATGTTGTTTACGTCCACCACGTATAAGATTGCATAACTCAAAATGATTCGAGCAAAACCGGTCTTTTGTTAAAAGGAAGAACGGTTAATAGAAATTGGTCCTTTTGAGTGACATAATCGTGTATCGTCATCGATCCGTGTCTTTGAACAATGAAAAATTTGTCGTGAAATTATTGAAGATTTTTTTACATTTTGTGAGAAAACTGCGGGGCTACGGAGTGGGAACATTTCGGATTTGAACTCAGCGTGTTCGAAAGTGTTAGTTCCCGTAAAAATATTTCAGATCTAAGACATGCTTAATGAAAGTGAACGATATCGGGTCACAACACACGGACTATGTATATATGTGAGTAAATCTCGAACGGTCTGTGCCAGTGAACGTAGTTACAGTAATAGGAAAGCTGCTGATTTATAGGGGTACAACTACTTGAAAATTACATGTAGAGCGAGCGCCTTTCTCCTCTGGGATTGTGAGCCCGATCCTAACATCGGACTAACGACACATTTCTGAAAAGAGTTGGTCGACGGTTTACAGTCAACCGAAAGTCGTTGGTTCTGTCCGGGTTGGTTCTGTCCGGGTACATGAGCTTCGTCTAAACTAATGTAACAACAGGTCTCAAAGTTATCGAAAATTTTTGTCGGCTTGAAAAGAAGAATTTTGCGAGGCCTGAAAAGAAGCTTGCAGGTCAGCATGACAGGTCGGCAACTTTATGTTTTTATTATAACGTTCATGCATGTAGTAATATTCCAACAATTCTTAAAAGTGATTGACAGCTGGATGAAAATGTTCCTGACACTTCGTCACCTGCTTCAGTTCCACATTTTAGTAGCATTGGATTGCTGAGTATTGTAATGAATTTATGATTGAGAAATTACGAAAGAATTATAAATAGCTTTTGTTTTGAAACGCCTGAGTCGTTTGCTCTATAAATTTATATCACGAAAATGTATAGCATTCGAGGTCAGCAATTTTTTGCTGACCTGACATGACGATAGGTCGGCGATCAGCTAAACCTCGTTCCGAGGATATCCTTGGGATCAGGTTGGCAGTCGCCGATTGCCGACTTGAATTCCGAGGCCTATTTAATACATGGGAGTCTATACATTCATACATGCACTGATGCAATTCTGATGTTGACAGTTACTTTTCTCTCAAAGTGCTTTCATGTAGACTCCTTTTCACTACATGTACTTTAAGGGTGATTATAGCAATATTGAAATTTGTGCAGATTAAAATATTACCAGCTTGAACAGAAACATAATAGTCATGTATGTTAGTTATTATGCAACTTTGTATATTTGTCCTCGCTACGGTGATTATTTGATATGTTAATATATGATGATGTCAAGGGGCTAGTAAAACACTTCTATATTCTATAATCTGCATGCATGCAGGATAAACTGATGAATTCATACAGTTTGTATTGTACTTCAAACGTACCCAATCTTGCCACACGTATGTGTCAATCTAAAAGTATAAATTTCAATATCTGCAAGGCTATAAACAAATTAAAGAATTATTTACTCCTCTAGTTGATCGTAATCACCGAGCAAACGTGAACGGTTTATAACGTCCCACATCAAAACATTGTATTTGATACAGTGCAAAACATTTTGACTTGTGATTTAATATATTGAGTATAGAAATACGGAACAAATATGTTTATTTTTTTTATTCAAGTAATCCAATTTAAAAAATGTGTAATCTTTACTCAAGAATTAAATTGCTCATAAATGAGTGATTTTACTCATCATGATTCTGAGTCACTGTGGGTGTATTATTTCACGCAAGATTTTGAATAAAAAATGTTCAGGATATTTTTGTAAAGTATACTGTAGCTATTACAGTTCATTGCCGGTGCTACCGGAAAGTATCGAAAGTTTTCTGGTGGTAGACAACTCCCTCCTGAATTTAGAAAAAAAACTGTTTACACTCAAATGTGTCGGTTTTAGCCTCTTTTCTGATTAAAATGTTGAACAAATCGCCGGAAGGTGTGGAGGGGGCCTGATGGCCTGCCCCACACTACCAAAATTTCCGCCACTGATTCAGACAACAATACGGTGTTCATTTTTTTCTCATGAAATATATTATCACATTTGAAAATTCACATGCATTTTCTGAAATGGTAGTCAAATTGGAGCCTTCACAATACTGTGATATTCAGGCCGTCTAAGTTAATAATATCGGTTCTCTTAATCTTGTGAAAGTTACATTTCGCAACTAGCCAATTTTTGTGATCCTCAAATTATCAGCCTAAGGATAAAAATATTGTTTGTGCCTATTATTTGTACAAAGGGATTTATATATTTGTTATTAATCTGGCTTTTATGGCCTTTATTCAAAAGTTAGATGAGTCATTTGTGGGAAGATTTGAATTAGTATATAGATAATGGCTTTATATGCATACAATTGAAGCAGAAGACGGAATTAACCTCTTGGACACCGCAGTTAATCACGAATACATTAAAATGTGTTCCTCAATCCAACATCACTATAGTTTTTCAAATGATAGGCCTACGGGAGTTTGTATAATACGTAACGTTTCAAGTTAAATCATTTGATTATAACGAATGATAAATGAACTATCGGTTTTTTGTGTACATTACAATTCATCCGATCGACAAATCCAGAGCTAGCGATTAAACTTTGCCACGTTTTTCCTCCACATTGTTCATTCTGTCGTAATACTGTATGTGAAATGCTGTTTGCCTAGCACGACTGGTGAAAAGATAGTAATTGTTCAACTTGTAATACTGTTCGCAACAATCCAATTCTAATTTTATTCATCTCGATTTTTTTTTAAATTCACAATTCAGTGCAAATGGCCATTGCTCGACTACCTCAACATGATTAAAACAATCATGTATTAAACAGCCACACAAAGGCCATACCTTGAATACCACTTGAAGTGCACTTGTATGTTTCCAAAGGACCCACAGTATAATTATGCACATAGTATCATACTGTATAGATTTCACTCACAGTATAAAACCCTTGTTTTTCCCATGCCCAACTTCATTTAATTTCACCGAGTGTCTGCACTTCACTGTCGTTATAGCCAATTTATTGTAATGTAATGCGGAAAATTAGTGCTTACTTTTGCAATTATCACATTATTCGAAGTACAGCATAAAATATTGTGGCAAAAGGATCGACTGATCGCCTTCTTGTGGTTCCACAACCTGCTGGTTTTCCATTCCGCTTCGCGTAGGCAAGTTATCGAGTCAGTTTGACCACAAAGACAAAGAGATGGATATTCAGTCAAATAAATTTAAACAGGTCATGCTTCGTTGAGTATTAGGATTGCTTAGTGGTCTTTTTAAACTTAAGTTGTTTCCTGGCCTTTCAGTGTGAGTATAGTCTCTGAGCGACAAGCTGCATGGTTTTCGATTTCCTTCGAGACGAGTACTGCGAAACCGTACACAGCGTGTTGTCAACATGTTAACTTCCGATCACTAAACAATTCTAAAGACAAACTTGGATTATCGCGCTCATTTATCTTGAATATATTCGCGACTATTGTTGGTGATCAAAAATTCAGTTGTTTGACAATCGCTTTGAATTGAGGACGTCTATATAGCCACAAAGAAGATTGCCTCATTATACGTATATGGTATTATGACAACGATGGATTATTTCTCGACTGTTTTCTTGTTCTGTCTTTTGGGAAGTTATCTTTCCCTTGGCCTGGGAATTCCTAGCAGAGGTATGATTTTGAAAAGATGTTCTTTATGTCTGGTTTTAAAACAACATAGACAGAATGCATGAGTGCGTGCGTGCTCAAATATTTATTACTCTAAGTAGAGATACAGCCGCAGAGTGGTTTAATTGCTCGAGTACAAATTCGCGAAAAAGTTCGATTCCATTCTTTATAGTTAGTGTACATGACCTGATGGCCAGGGAACCTAAGTTTATGAAAACAGAGACTAATATTTTGCAGAAGAGTTGTACTTATTTGAATGGTATATATGTCTAAATATCTTGTGAAAGCTACTTTTGATTAAGTGCACTATATCGGCCTATTCAAACATGTTTATTTAAGTGTGCATGTCTCCGATATTGTGAAATTGCTTAAATGAAGATTAAAATGCTTTCAATATATATATTGTGGATGATGGAATTGAAAACCCACGTGCATGTATGTGATATAATAGAAATGCTGTCTGTAATAATCGTAAATAATTTGAATGCGATGCCTAATATGAATAAACTAGTGTCATTGGCCTTGCATGCTCATTAGATTGCAAGCTCTAAATGGATAAAGTTTATTGACATTGCTTAAACAGTGTTGAACAAAGCGATCATAATTGAGATAATGTTTATAGCCAATCTGGCCACCATTCTCGGCGCCAGCACAGAAATTTCTTAACAAATTAAAACAAAGTTTTGGGTTTTTTTGTTTCAAACAAGCATACGTTTCGTTGAAGGATAATTTTTTTACCACTAGTAACAGATACTAAGGAATGCATGGATTTCATCTCGCGTCAAAATTTTGTACTTTCCAGAACTTTCTAAAAATGTACCTTACACTAGTAATTAACTTCGTTTTGAATTCGAAGTAAGTTTATTTAGGCGCAGGTTTAGGTTTGTTTAGTTAACACCGCTGCAGGTGACCATTATAATACAAGACGATGTTGGCAAAACAAAAGACAACCGAATGGACTATAAATACAGTAGAAACAGCCACAGCATAATTTTATCGCTTTTTGTTAAAGCCACCTGTCAAATTAATTTTCATTGTTTCGTATGGATGAAAAAGAATGCATTGATGCAAGCAAAATTATACTGTAACCATAGATTGAAAACAAAATACAAGATATCGCAAGGGCATCTTGCTTGATATAGAAATGAATGGTGAAGGGTTCCTGTCGCCTGTCGGTAGAACTTTTGAGCGAAAACAAAAATTATTATGTATTTACAGTAGAACCCCGCTTACTCGAACTCCCATAATTCCATGTCGCATAATTCGAATTCCTCTGCCCTATCTCGAAGTAAATCCAACTTTCCCTGTACGTGTTTGACCGAAATTTACAGTAATTTACTCTGGCTAACTCTGACTCAATTAACTCGAACTCCTCGCTAACTCGAACAAGATTAAATGTTGAGAGTAAAATGTCGACTACTTAATGTCGAGAGTTTTAAAATGCATGAGAATCGCAGCTGTCGCAGTGGCACCGGTCAGGTCTATATAAGGTCTGCTCATAATAATATCTTTTTGAAACAGAAATATACCAATATTAATGAATTGAATATAAAACATTGTACTTTACAAACCGAGAGACGTTCCAATCCAAATTCGCTGGCAAAAAAACTGTATATATTGAGACTACACTATATATAGCTACACATAATAACTTTAAAACACAATTTTTCTCCACAAATTATTATACATTTATATTATAACAATCTCGTCACTAAAATATTTCCAATCTCGTCAAAACAATCTCATCATTATAATATTTCCAACATTGGCGAAATTTCACTAAGAGTAAAGTATTTAACCAAATCTGGCCACATGCACTGGTTCTGAGATAATTAAATATAGTATTAGTGCACGACATTGAATTTTTACATATTCTTTCATCGCATGGTGTGTGCATTGCTCATTGATCAACCAGTTTCAACAGGTACTCGATGAACATCAATGAGTTGAAATTCTGACTAAGATTTGTAACAGTGTACCGCGGCGTATTGGTAAATATATCAGAATTGTGGACATCTCACTCAATGACACAATATAACTAACTGTTGAAGGGATTTTGTAGATGGAAATTTGGAGTTGGATTTTAAAACACTTATTAAACCTAACCTGTACCTCAGGTGGTTACAGTGCTGCACCGGAATCGCAGGGCCTTAGGTTCGATTCCTACCAAACGGCCAATAGACACACTGCCCATGACGTCACAGCGCCGGTGACGATGCATCTGGAGGACAAATTAATTTGCAATCTATGCATAACATAACTTTTATAAACAAAGCAAATTTTGTTAAACTTTATAATAATTTTGTATTAAAATGGTTAATTTTTGCGCTGTATCTGCTTGTTCTACCCGAACATTGTTAGAGAGTATCTGGAAGACACTGGAAGGATTTGTGACGTCAGTGCAATGGGTCTATAGTTGTATTGTTCGTGAACTGCTCGTAGTTAGGTCTAATAAATGTATAAAAATTCCATTCAAAATCTCCATCAATAGCGCAGTTAAATAACTTTGTAACCATATTCTCTAATTCTTCCAGTCCGAGCTACATAGTTGCCTTACAGTTCAGCTGCAATCTGCCGCGGGGCAGAACTCGTAATATGGATGCACTGTCGAGACTCTGGGCGCGCTAATTGTCTGATGTTTAGCAATTATCTCAATTCAGTCAATGAAAAAGATACAAAAACCTTTGTGAAGTAACATATTGTCCAAAAATTCCCATTGAACTTTGTGCAATAGCAAACTAGTGCGTGGGAAAAATTTGTCATAAATGCCTATATTATATTGTATCAAAAATATGCATGACTCTATTGATTTGGGTGCTACGGCGGCCCAATCGTCAGAGAAAGCGCCTTCCACCGCTTAAATCGATTCTAGCTGCTGACTCATAATACTTGAGGGTTTCTCCAGGTACTACGCTTTTTTCCCTCAGGGAATATTGAGAGGGTTGGTTGAGATAAGCCCCAGCTGACCCTTCCAACGTAGCTGCTCCGTGGTCAGACATGACTCATAAAGTGGCTGCTTGAACGGTGCGCCCCTAGAAAGCCTTCAACTCGATCAGGTTGAGCTGCCTCCTTTGCCATTTATCTTTGGTCTCAGCTGCAAGGTGGATTAGTGCATGCACCCCCACAAAGGCCTATTGCAAACGTCGCGCTCCTCATAATAGAGACCTTACGATTTTAGGACGGCGACGGCCAAAACAAACTCCTTCAAATAAATGGTAATAAATATAGTTCGTCGTATATTATCGTTCGTATGAATTTAATACAGTCTTAAGCCTGCAGCACACGAGCGCGATCTGCTGAGCAAAAAGTTACTCGTGCCTGTTAGCTCAGCCGATAGATCACCGTGTGCGGGTACATTTTACTGAGTTTCTTGCCTCATGCAACCTTTTCTCACGTATCAAACATGTTTGATCGGTTATCTGTCGGCTGAGCTAACAGGCACGAGTAACTTTTGGCTCAGCAGATAGCT